AAGAACAGAACCCAAGTCCGCATTGCTGAACAACAGAAACAGCTTTGTCTTAATTTAAAAATAAGTAAATAAATAAGATTAACCAAGCAGAAAAGGACTAACCCTTAAATTCTAGGTGTTTTTGAAAACATTTTTAAAAATGTTTTTATCATGATAATCACCTTTATGTCTTTTTGTCTTGGAATTGAAAGAAAAACATTATAAACCAGGGCAGGAAAAATAATGTTCAGCTGAGATTTATGCTATTTTGAAAAATATGCACAATCTAAACCAGATTTGCTAACCACAGCCTCTTAGTATTCTGAGTAGACACCACAGACTCTCTACATTCAACCCCACAGTCCATTTCTAACGTCCACTGAACATGCCCTTAGCTCCTGCCGCCTGCCACATCAGGATAATGTGAATCCAAGAAACTGTGTTTTCTCAACTTGTCCTGTACAGCCTTTCTTCCCTCTCAGCCCATCTACCTCAGAGTCCTTTAAGGAGCTGCCCATGTATACGTATCCACACACATATACATATGGGGTACAAAGATAGACGCGCCTCTTTTTGATGTGGGAGCGTCTATCGTGGCAGAGGGAATGTAGGCTGACAGATATTTTTGTGGCCATCTTTGGAAAGTACAACCTGCCACAGCAGTAAAACCTCATGGGCAATGAACAGTGCGGGGACTTCTCTTTGAAGCGCCTCTGCTTTGTTCGTATCACACACAAAAATCCTAAAAAAGTGCCAGGATTGAGAAATCTATAATCTTGGCCTGTCTATCCCATTATTGAAAAAGCTCAAGGCAAATTTAATGTGTTTTTTTATATTAGATAGAAAAATAGGTGGGTATGTGTGTATGTATGTACATATACCTATATATAAAAGATTGCTCCAAGAAGACTGTGTTTTGGTGCAATGTGACATCCTGCCCTTCACTTACAAAGTTGCTGCCATTGGTCCCCACTGCCAGAGAGTGAGGTTTTCCGTTTTTCTGATGGTGTGATAGATGGGGTGACTCATCTCTACTCTCCATAGCAGGAAGCCCAGCTTACTCATAGCACATTTTTTTAGATGACTGCTAGGATAACAGGCATAATTCTTTAACAAAACAGATTAAATCTAACTGACTTCTAGAGGGTTAACCTAATAGTTCACCTCATTACCTCATCTAACCCAGCTAGCTACCAAGGAGGGGGAAAGTAGGTGCCTCCAGAGAACAGCAATTAATGAAAGGGAACCTTGAAAGTTCAGCCTTTAATCCCCAGCATACTGTCTGGCATGAGATAGGTATTCAATAATTGTTAGGATGGGGAGCATAAGACATTTTAGGGGCTAGCAATCTGAATTAGTCCCAGTAACCTGCTTTCTACTGCACTCTCTTGCTAGCCAATAATTAACTTCATTTGTGAAAGAATGTAGGAGACTAGCAGGAACTCTGTACCTAAGTTAATTAATATCCCTAATGCATATTCTTGTTAGCCTATAGTCTAGTCACTGCCCCTTCTTAATTATCTGGTCTGTCCTTGGTTCCTCCCATGCCAGGTGTCTTCTGTTTATCTGAGCTATGTTGTGCTCAAAGCTGCAAGATATCTGCTAAGTACAATAAATTTTTCTTTCCCCATTTTATTCTCTTTAACCCTTCCAATATATATAGAGAGAAAATCTCATTGTCCAGGTTGTTTAGGATCTGGATCTTAGGGTCCCCTGAACCAGCAGTGCTGCTTTAATAAAGACTTTTTCCTGAACCTCACAGCGTCCGACTGTCACTTCCTCACCAATTTCATTAATTCCATAATTCCATACAGTTAAACAGAAAATAGGCCTGTAAGTTTTAGCATCTTTCCTGGTTCAGAGACGACAGCAATAGTTCAGCCTGATGAAGGTTTGAAGATGGAAAGTCACAAACAAGGGAGAGTAGAATGTTTGAGATCCTCCATTCCACCACCAACTGCGGAGCAGACCCCTGAGCAGGCTCACCTCTGCCTCCCACCAAGTGATCACCTCTGTCTCTGGGTGCACGAATTTAAAGAGTTTGGGGTCTGTGGTCAGGAAATTCAGCTCGGAGTGGCCATGTCTACTAGTTTTCTTTACTCATGCACTCTAGTTGCATTGAGTGAGTATTTACCTTGTTCTGTGGCATGTTTTGAAGCACCAGTCTAGCAGGGAGTGTCTCCATCATTCCATGCTCCAGCCCCCAAATCAATAATCCTCCTCCAGGTTCCTAGTTTTTCCAAAAAGCCCTTCAAACATTGTTCCCAGGCACTAGAGTGACCTTGAGACCCATTAACACCTTTACTGATAGTTTTCTCCAAGGTAGACAGGGAGTATCTGAGAGATTGGGGAGATGGATTAGGAGAGCCTCGTTAACACTCCCAAGATCCATCTCAAATCCCTCATCCATTCTTTGATACAGAGAATTAGTGTGCTCTTTCTTATAAAAAGATGAGTTTAGGGTAATTTGACAAGCGTTCAGTGTTGTTAAGTGCCAAATTTAAGATCCAAATTGAACACTTGGAAGATTTAGAAACTTGGAATAATTACCTACTACATGTCAGGCACTGTGCCAAAGTATAAGTAATACAAATATGAATGTTTCCTGCTATCTGACCCAGGTACAAAAGCAAATAACTACAAGGTAAAGTGATGAATGCTGTAATAAATGCATCTGTAGACATTGAGAGCCTTGATAGTCTGGGTATATGAAGATGGAGAGATGAAAAACTAATGAGAACAAAGAACATGTATTTTATTGTTTTGACATTTGTGCAGGACCTTCATGTATTCAGTAGTCCTCATAATTTCCCCAGAAAGTAGAGGACAAATAGTTTGTCCCCAAAGTGCCCTGGTATCCAGAGGAAAATAAGGCCAAGTGAAATCACACAAGTTCAACAGCAGTATTTGGATTAGGATTTCTGCTTATCCATCACTTAATACTGTTTTGTGCCTTCACAAAATTTTAAAAGGGAGCCAACTTGTTCTCCAGATGAAATAGAGAGAAAAGAAGTGAAAAAGGAGTCCCATGACAAGGGAAATACACAGCATAGCTTATACAGCATAGCTATGCATTCACAAACGGGTTTTCCATAAAGAAGAACGGAACAAAAGATGACCTTAAAATATTTATTTTAAAAAACAAATTAAAACAGCAGGCAGTATCTAGAAGAAAACTGAAAGGTTCATAGAATTATAAAAATGATTTCAATTTCTTTACGACCATTCTTATAATAATCACGTTTTGCAAAGTTTCTTTTTTTAATTAACTAAATTTAAGGGACTTATAATAAGATATATACTCTCTACCTTAATTGTTATTTAAAGGCACTTTACAATGTTTACATAATCTTGTAATGCAAGTCTTGGTTTTTCTATCACCCTTCTGGTTTTCCAAGCACATCAGCATTTTTAAAATTGTCTTCACACTAAATCAATAAAAAATGTTGATAGGACAAACTCTATGCAACATGAAATATTGTTTTAGATGAGAAATTCAAAGGTTTGTTGTTTTAAAATACCCAGTTTTTAAAATTAACATCATTTCAGTAACATATGCTTATCAGGAATAAAATATTGGATAGTGTCAATTTGTCACTCAGAAAAATAAAACATCCAAAGGCCAATAAAGTTTTATGTGGAGGATTATTATGGTAATATAAGTCTCTATCTTGTGACTTTTTAAATTTGTGCACCATATTTTGTTGTGTTTATTTGAGCTACTTTCAGGCAATCTTTTGATACATCAAGTACCATTCTTAGTTAAAAGCACCAAAGTATAAAAACATATTTAATTTTCCTTGAAGTCTTTCAATAATAGAAGAGACAAACCGGGACTATAGATTTCTCAATCCTAGAATGTTACCTTACAAGGACTTTAATTTTGTGATAAAAACAGAGCAGAGGAGCTACAAAGAGAAGCCTCCTTCTTGTTCAGTGTCCCTAAATTTTCAATGCTTTGTATTTTCCAAAAGTGGCCACAAAAACTATGTCTTAGCCTTTATTTCCTCTGCAGTATGACTGTGCCACTTCCATATCAAAAAGTGGAATGTCTATCGTTGTACCCCCCACTTGATCCAGGTGGGCCCTATGACTATTTAGGCCAATAGGACATGGGAAGGGAAACACTGGGCCAATAGAATATGGCAGGAGACCTGGAAGTTTCTTTTTCCATCTCTCGGAAGTCAGTTACCATGTAAGAAGTGCTACTACTCTCAGATCATCATAGGATAAAAAGGCAAAGCCACATGGAGAGGCCCTGAAGAATGAGATGCCACATGGGAAGCAAGAGTGAAGAAACCATCCAGGATGACCAGTCCAGTTGAGCCTTCAGATGACTCCAGACCCAGCCACTATCTGGTCACAAATGCATGAGAAACGCATGTTAAGAACTGCCTGGATGAGCCTAGTCCACCTATAGAACCTTGAGAGATAACAAACAATAACTTGTTTTACCCACTAAGCTTTTGGGTAGTTTGTTACACAACAGGAACAACTGCTCTCTCTTAAACAAAAATTTCTCCTCCAGCATCTGAGATACGGGATCCCAATCTTACCTCTCTACTTTCTCCTGATACTTTCTCCCTGTGAATTGTTACGTATAGAACACCTATTCAAATAACTTATTAGGGGAAATGTAATAAAATGTGAAAAAATTAGACTTAGCATTTTACACAGTATCTGCAATACTGAATTTGGTAATAATAACTTATATCTTGATTATTGATGGAAGAACTATCAGTAACAATATATGCAGATGACACCATTTTACTAGCAGAAAGTAACAATAATTTGAAATGACTTCTGATGAAAGTCAAAGAAGTAAAATGCCAAAGCAGGACTGCATTTGAACATCAAGAAGACAAATATCATGACCACAGAAAAAATACACAACTTTAACATCTATAATAATAAAAGCATAATATGCTAATTAGACCAGACAGCCGAACGACCTTCCAGATGTCATTCTGGACGTCATTCCAGATGAAGCTGCCATGGTGGGGGCCAAGGGAGAGGCAGTTAGGGGTGATCAGGCAGGCAGGCGAGCAGTTAGGGGAGATCAGGCAGGCAGGCAGAGTGGTTAGGGGCAATCAGGCAGACAGGTGAGTGGTTAGGGGCTATCAGGCAGGCAGGCATAGTGGTTAGGGATGATGAGGAGGCATGCAGAGTGGTTAGGGGCGTTCAGGCAGGCAGGCAGACAGGCAGGGGAGTGGTTAGGATACAGCAGTCCCAGATTGACAGAGGGATGTCTGAGGGGTCCCAGATTGTGAGAGGGTGCAGGCCGAGCTGAATGACCTCCCCCCACTGCACGAATTTCGTGCCCTGGACCTCTAGTAGACAATAAAGATATTGAAATTGCTAAAGATTTTATTTGCCTTGGTTCAGTCATTAATTCAAATGGAGACTGCAGCAGGAAATCAAGACAAGGCTGAGATAGGAAGGGCAGCAGTGGAAGAATTAAGAAAGATCACCAAGAAACTCTTTTTGAACAAAGCAATCAGACTTGGGCAAGTGATTTCGAATGGCAAGGTCACCAGAGATAGTTGGAGAAATACTACTGACTCTTATTTTTGTAGCATTTTATGGGGGAAAAATGGAAACCATGTTGTTCAAGAGATTTCAGTACTGTTATTCAAATCTAGACAAGAACATCTTTTCAAAACATATCAGGATCTATGTCATTTAGCTGAACAGGTGAGCTGCTTTATCAGTGGGTGGCTTTCTCAGTTATGCGTCATTTAAAAACTGATGATAAAACAATATTAGCAACTTAAGTAATATCTACTCGCCCTCTGCCTGACCCCTGGAAGCCACTCAGAAGAATGCCTTTCAAATGACTCCAGTATTTCTTGAGGAAATTTTTTAGATACTGACAGGCACTCACACATCTCAGCAGGAGACATTTGGTTTCTGGCTTCTGTTAGATAACATCTTAGGCTGTGATCATAGACCACAATATTACAGACTTCCTCCCAATTCAATCATGAGTGCTGGAAAGAGAATGTGTAAACGCCTCTCCCTCTTTTTACTAAGGTGTATGCACAGCTCCCCTACATTCTCAAATATTTTACTCCCCACTCAATTAAAATCCCCCAATATTTTTTTCCTTTTACTTTACCTTCCTCTGGACTTTTTGCAGGATGTGTTCGGGGTAGTTGGTTGTGGGTCTGAAGAATTTTAGCTTCGTTTTGTGGTTTCTCAGTGAGTGCAGTTAAACAAAGTCCTCACCTGCTTTTATACCAGCAGAGAAATAAAAACTGCATGTTCCCACCGGCATCTAAGCCCAGGGATCAACAGTAAAATCTACCTAATAACTGAATGGTACTCCCCGTAATTACCATGACATCAATTTGATCTTATCTTGTTTCAACCCTTAGATCATTTTTTAGTTTTGAGACATTTTCAGGCGGTGATGACCTCAAGGTCAGCCTATGAAACGAGAGCACGCAGTCATTTTCTATGTAATTTTATCGAGACTTACACACAACATCCTGAAAGTTGACACTTTCCTATAAACAAGACCCTACTGGTCTGACATTTAATTAGCTAAGTACCTGATGTTTACTTAAAGCAGGAGAAGAGCTGTAAATTTCAGATCAGATACAAAGCATTGTCAGGAGTGCAACACGATTCCGGTAGGAAAAAGAAAAATAAAACACATGCCTATTTAGACTTTTCAAAAATCAAAGGTACATCTGGATTTAATAAGGATGCAAGGAGGAGGTATGATGCAGTTCTGGGGAGGACTAGTTGTGGCTCAACATTTGTGCCTTGTTCCCCCCTCTTATTTCACTTATGTAAAGGTCAGTTTCTTCCTAAGCAGAAGATCAACGTGTTGTGGCTTGTCAGCTTTGGGACATTTAACTCCAAGATTCCCAGTGCAGTGTCTCTCTAAAACCTACCCAGCTCCTCAGGCTTTGGCTGCGGCTGCTTTTATCCCCACAGGGATTAGAATCCTAAAAAAGGTTCCTGTCTCCATCGACCGGCTCAAGGCCATTTCTGTAGGGACTGGTTTAGATTCATTTTAGCAGCAACTGTCCCAAGGAAGAGCTTAGAGGATTCTTGTAATAGAAAATCAACCTTTGTTTAACACAAAGAAATTGGCTAAAGAAAGCAAAGTTGTACTGAAATTTAAAACCTGTGATAAATTGATTTGTTTCTGTTCTTAAACCATTTCCATCATCTCCTTCTGATGGTCTCTCCCAGTGACTACACTACCCATTCACCTTTTCCTGGTAACTATTGGTGTCACCATTATTCATGAATTTCTGTCATTTAAATCTCAAATGCCTCAGCTGGGTGGCTGGGTTGCTTGGAGCATGGTCCCAACATCAAAAAGGTTGTGGGTTGGATTCAGGTTGGATCCGGGTTTGGGCGCTTATGTGAGGCAACCTATCTCTCTCTCTCTTTCTCTCTCTCTCTAATAAAATATTCTCGGGTGAGGATTTAATAAATAAATAAATTAATTAATTAATTAAATCTCAAAGGATTGGCAGCATATTTTCAAAGTAGCAGACTTATTTTGGAAATCTGGAGCCTTCATAGTTTCAGGGGAAGGACACCTTTCAAGTCATGAAAAAATTCCTTCTCCTTCCCTCTTTCCATTAAGGCACTTCACTCTCCTTTACTCTATTTTCTCCCCTCCATTTGTCCTCCTTTCAATCCTTTTTTTCTTTTTTATTTGGATGATTAAGAAGAAATGTTTCTTGTGTACTCTTATTAACCATTTTCATTTTATTTATGATTTAGTTAGTAATGGGCTTTGTTTTTATTTCATATATTTTATACGAATTTAAGAATTTTTATAAGAATATCAGGGAAGCCCTAATCGGTTTGGCTCACTGGATAGAGTGTCAGCCTGCGGACTCAAGGGTCCCAGGTTTGATTCTGGTCAAGGGCATGTACCTCGGTTGTGGGCACATCCCCAGTGGGGGTTGTGCAGGAGGCAGCTGATCCATGTTTCTCTCTCATTGATGTTTCTAACTCTATCCCTCTCCCTTCCTCTCTGTAAAAAATCAATAAAAATATATTTTTTTAAAAAATATCAGGGAATTCATATGAATATTTTAGAGCATTTTTTAATGTTTGCAGTGCTTTTATATATTTTTTAAAACATGATGTAGCAAAATAAGTTATACAAAAGAATTGTCCCTTTCAAACATGACCTTTCGCTTCCCCTATTTCAGAAATTATGTCTTCCGTCCCTCATATATGTTCCTGCACATAACCTATGAATACATAAATAAATTATACATAACTCCCCATCCCCATTCAAATACTCCTTAAAATGATGAACAAAATACAAAAATTGAAGAAACTCTGCATTTGTGCTTACACTGTGGAGAAATTTCTTTCTGTTAATATAGTATAAGTTATATTTCTCTGTGCTCTCTAACATGGTACATATTACTTTTAATTATAATTGGGGATATTATTTTTAGTTAATTGGGAAAATGTGATTTTTAATTATAATTGGGTAAAGTGTAGTTGCCAAAAATGTTTTTAAGTTTCAATATTTTATGTAGCTGCTTTCATCTATTTTTGACAGTTTTATTCCATTCTTAGCAACTCTATTTTCCCCATCTTGAATAACTGGTAGAGCTGGTGGGTAAGATGCAAATCACTCCTCATTCATTTACAGTTACCTCCCTGATGCTGAGACCTGGAGTGTCAATTACCAAGAGGGTAGACTAGCTGAAGACATTGGGATGACATGGCAAATAGTCGCCTTTACTAGGCAAAGTCCTGAAAGCATATTATGCTACAGAGGATGTATCAGGAACATCTTTTCATACCAGTATGACAAAGTGAGGTACATAGAGGCTGTGCCAACTGGATGTATTTTTCCTAATGAAGTTTTGTCATTTACACACTGAATTTTAAAAGGTTGACCACTTTCACCACTCTTGTTCAACATAGTACTGAAAGTGCTAGCCATAGCAATTACACAAGAAGAAGAAATAAAGGGCATCCAAATTGGAAAAGAAGAAGTAAACTATCATTATTCGCAGATGACATGATATTGTACTTAGAAAACCCTAAAGACTCCAGTGTATTAATGTCTCCATAGCTGGGAAACATCATGAGTACAATTTTCTATCAGTTTCTAAAAATTTTCAAATCATTTGGAATACCAGATTGCTCACACTTAGTTCTGAGTATGTTGTATCTTTAATTTTGTATATCAAATTGGCATTTTAAAAATGGGTCTGTATTTAGCTGGATATAATAAGAGTGCCTGCCACCACCACCAGACAGACCTGGTGCTCTCATGCCGAGTTACACGTGGGGCTTTGCTGTCATGTCTTCACTGGCACTATAAAGGTGGCCCAGAAGACAGGTTCGCAGAGTAAGACGTCCATAGTGGTGGTTAAGAAACTCAGGGTAAGAGTACTTTTGTCTCTTAAGTACCAGCTATTTAGCTTATCGTTCTCCAATGAGACCCGCTGTGTGAATCTGGGCGAGATGATGGACTCTGCTCTGTCTGCTAGATGCCATTGTGCATAGAAAAACATTTTGAGAAGCTACCTAATGCCTAAGCTTTTTAATGCTGTAAAGTATAGTAGCTGAAATTAAATGACAGTTAATTTTTTCAGAGATGAATTAATGGACAGCCTGGTCAAATTCAAAGCTATTTGATGTACAAAACATTTTATAAGTGGAACTATTCCATTAATAGGCAAAGTGTAATTAAACCTATCTAGATGGATAGTATGTAATTTCTGCACAGGTCTCTGTTTAGTGAATACATCACTGTATACTGGTCAGGAATCTTGCTCCAATAAAGGAACATAAAGAGATTTTTGACTTGGTCAGAGATGAATTAATGGACAGCCTGGTCAAATTCAGAGCTATTTGAATATATAAAACTTTATAAGTGGAACTATTCCATCAATAGGCAAAGTGAATTAAACCTATCTAGATGGATAGTATGTAATTTCTGCACAGGTCTCTGTTTAGTGAATACATCACTGTATACTGGTCAGGAATCTTGCTCCAATAAAGGAACAGAAAGACTAAAAAAATAATAATAAAAATAAAAATCTTCTTTATAGCAAAAGAAGCCATCAACAAAACAACAAGAAAGCCCACTGCATGGGAGAATATATTTGCCAATGTTATCTCCAATAAGAGTTTAATCTCCAACATTTACAGGGAACTCATACAACTTAATAAAAGGAAGATAAATGATCCAATCAAAAATGGGACAGCTCCTAGGACAATGGAAACTAAGGAGAAAATAAATAGATGGGACTACATCAAAATAAAAACCTTCTGCACAGTAAAAGAAACTATCAACAAAACAACAAATGAGCTCACAGCATGGGAAAACATATTTGCCAATGTTTTATCCAATAAGGGTTTAAACTCCAAAATTTATAAGGAACTCATACAATTTAACAAATGGAAGATAAACAACCCTATAAAAAAATGGGCATCAGACATAAATGGAGACTTTCCAAAAGAGGACATACAGAAGGCCAAGGGACATATGAAAACATGCTCAAAGTCACTAATCATCTGAAAGATGCAAATCAAAATGACAATGAGGTATCACCTCACACCTGTCAGGATGGCTATCATCAACAAATCAACAAATGACAAGTGCTGGCGAGGATGTGGAGAAAAAGAACCTCGTGCACTGCTGGTGGGAGTGCAGACTGGTGCTGCCACTATGGAAAACAGTATGGAGTTCCCTCAAAAAGTTAAAAATGGGACTCCCATTTGACCCAGGAATTCCACTTTTAGGAATATATCCCGAGAAACCAGAAATGCCAATCACAAAGGATCTATGCACCCCTATGTTCATAGCAGCACAATTTACAGTAGCTAAGATTTGGAAACAGTCTAAGTGCCCATCAGCAGATGAGTGAAAAAAATAATATTGTAATAGTTATGTATGGACCAGGGTGGGGGGTACTTGAAATATTAGGGGACCACTCTGTAAAGTATTTGATGATCTAACCACTATATTGTGCACCAAAACTAATACAGAATGTGAACTATAATGGAAAAAAATGGAAAATTGTATGTTATATGTTTTTCATCATCATCATAATAAAAATAAATAAAATAAAAAAGAAATGTAGTCTGCCACTTAAAAAAAGAACCACCTTGTAAATGTTACACATGCTTACTTTACTTGTTTTATTAAGTATAATTTGATCTTTTTCATAGTGAAGTATGATTATCACAAACATTATGCTTAACCAGAAAGCTAAAATATATAAAATCCTTGCTTTTTTAAGTAGCTTTTTATTCAGTAATTTCAATGATACATTACATAATTTTTTAATTTTCAAGCAATATAAAAGTCTATACCATGAAAAACAAGTCTTCCTCCTACCCCAAAATCTTTACTCCCATTCCCAAAGGTACCCATTTTTAACAATTTCTTGATGTTGCCAGAAATTTTCTTATGTGTGTACACACACTTTTTGA